ATATTTGATTTACAGAGAGGGCCTTGCTGAGTTCCTTGCTCGCTAAGTTGCTGAGGCTGGCTTTGAACTCACAATCCTCCTGCCTCAGCCTCCCAAGCCTCTGGGATTACAGGCATGGGCCACCATGCCCAGCTTGATATGTTTTTAATATTCAGAATCTGGGAGAAAGTATTTGGATTTTTAAAAATAAACTGATAAAGTAGAAAGACAACATCTAAAAGTCCATTTTTTTTTTCACCTCATTCCTTGATTATCTGTGCTTCAGTTGCCACAGATGCAGCGTGCATCTGAACACGTTGTCTCTGTCTCACAGTGACCTGAGGCAAGTCGGTGGGTCTGTCTCTGTTGTTGACGACCTCTGATGTGACAGGCTGTGGAGTGTGGAGTGAACAGGGTGGAGGAAGTGTTTAATTATTTCCTTTCCTGTTCTGTATTCTTCCCTCTTCAAACCCTAGATGCTCTGTAGAATTTCTAAAAGAATAATTGCTTCCTCTCTATTTTAACAGCATGTAGTAGGGTTGTTTCTGGTTACCAGTTTCTCCATTTCTTTTTGAGTCTTTATTTTTTAGGAAATCTTGGAAACAGGCATCCATCGTTTTTATACATTGCTTTTTTTTTTTTTAAAATTAAAAATAACATTGAGGGCTGGGGTAGTGGCTCAGTGGTAGAGAGCTGGCCTAACAAGTGTGAGGCACTAGGTTTGGATTTCACACCACATATAAATAAGTAAATAAAGGTCCATCAACAGCTAATAAAAATATAAGAAAAAAATAACATTGAGTTCAGGCTACCCTTGGTTTAACAGAATTAACTTTAAGTGAGCATATTGCATGTGTTTCTTAATCCTACCTTTAACTTTCAACTTCTTTTGACTTTTGCTATCATATTTAAATGTACTTTTTACAAACCACTCGGCTGAAATAAAATTAATAGGGACCAGTAAAGCTGTTCCCCGACCACATTCCTAGTCTCTAAAAGATCACAGTAAAAGATCACCTTATGTCGTTTTCCCCACCTGGGGCTCACACATGCTAAGCAGGTGCTCTGCCACTGAGCTGCGTCCCCAGTCCCACCTTGATACTTTACCAATGTAATAAGTGTATTTCCTCTAGCACTGCATGTCTGGTTGACTGCTCCTCTGGACTATTATGTTATACCTGGTAAAGGAATTGCATTAGCCTTTTATTCATTTTTATTTAAGTCCTAAGCACATGAGAATTAAAGTTGAACCTAAACCTTTCATCATTCTGTCATTAGCCTASTAGAATCGAAATTTTATTAAAGATTGAGAACATTTGCTGCTTGACGGTKTTTGCTTTTGTCTTTACCCAAGGCATCAGGTTCATAGGTAAAAATATGGGGCGGGGCAGGGCGGGGCGGGGGGGGGGGGAATGCCCAGTGTTCTTAGTGTGAATATTCCTAATTTTAAAATGTTGAATCAGGACACAGATTCATCTTACTTTTTTCCTAATTTCTAAATAAACACGAGGTATATGAGGTCGTTAATTTCCCTCCATCTTCCGAGTAGTTACAGGACCTGTGACAGCATTGGCTGTTACATAAAGCTCCTGAGACCACCCACTTTCTCCTCCCCTTTCCCATCTGATGAGAGCCACAGGCCACCCCAGGCACAGTGTGATGTAACTTATCGGCTGCTAGCCTCTGAATTTGCTAAGAGGAGATCTTATTCAGAGGAAGAGCATTGTTTTGACAAYATCTGGGAGTGAAAACGGAAGCCAGAAACCCTTGGATAGCGCTGTTGTTTTTTTTTTTTTTTCTTTTGTGAGTCTCTGGTGGAATGACATTAGCTATGTAGGCATGTTTTCTCTGCTGTGCCTCTTGGCCCCGAAGAGTACTGAATTTAAAAAGACAGCATGTGATAGTCCACGGAAGCAGCTTCTTCTGTGAAACCCTTCCACCTGCTCTGAAGACATGTTGTTGTCACCCAAATTCTCCTTATCCACCATCCACGTCCGGCTGACTGCCAAAGGATTGCTTCGAAATCTGCGACTCCCTTCAGGGTTCAGGAAGAGCACTGTTATTTTCCATACAGGTTAGTCTTGCCTAGATCTCTGCTGAGTGTTGCATGGGGGACATCTTGATTAACTTGCAGATGTTTATCAGAGATGTTTAAGAAGACAGATAATTAGGGAAATAGAGCTGTCTTTAATGAAAGAAGTCAGCTGAATTGGTGAAAATAAGCAGTTTTTTCTTGGTGTTGCACTTTGTTTGCAAGTGGACCTGTGTGCTCTGTTTGTGTTTAGGGGATGCAGAATCGTTGCCTTGGTGCTGCCGGCTCTTTTCTCTGCCACCAACCAAATTTGTAAAAACCAGTACCTATTAAATTACAACTGACTTCAGATGATTTTGGAAATGGAACACAAGTAAATCAAAAAGACCATTTCTGTTTTTATTAAAAAGGGAGATAAGAGGATTTCTGTAGTTCTTCATTTTTGTCATTTCTCATTGAGATTGATAGGCTATTTTAATATCCTGAAAGATTTCTATGTTCTAGACAATTATGAAATGAAATATCCTGATATATGTGGGGAGCTAACAAGCAAACCCCAAATTTAGTTTTCCAATCTTRTTAAGTAAAAAGGGTTTGCAATCACAGAATACTGCCCCTGGTGTTTATGTTCTCATCTGATATTTCCTTTTCTGTGCCCAAGATGGAAATAAACTCGGTGTGTATTTTAGGCATACGTGAACCTGCCGGCTCACTTGCAGGGGATTTGGTTGCCTGGTGCTGCTGCCTCTTGTGCCAGATGATGATTACAGCTGTGGGCAGTTAAGTGGCTCTGGGCTGTGAAGACCAAGGTGCTCTTCCCCTTGTTCTGGGCTGGTTGGTGTTGACTTTGATAGGACATGTCCTCTTGTTTTTCACTTGGCTCTGTCCCTGGTGATTGTTTTCAGCTGACTGTTTTCCCAGAGGCATCTGCCTTCTCTGTGGGATGATTCTCATCTTTTCCAACACCTCTTCCTCAGGTTTCATAACTCCCCTTGCCCTGTCATTTGCCTTTGGCGGTCTTTCCCCGTGGGTCTGAGCTGAGGGCYGGAGGTAAATGAGGTGAGCGGCGAGGGACACAGTGGCCTTTCCTCTCCCAGCCCCAGTACCCCTCTCACTCCTTCAGCCTTAAACATGAAAAGGTGGGGGGCCGAGAGTGTAGCTCAGCCTCAGGCCCTGGGATCAATCCCCAGCACCCCTCAAAAATAAAAATTGAAATGAATTTTTAAAAGTGGGGAAAATTAACAGTAAATGGGCGCTCTATATTTGTAGTAATTTATCTAGAATAGTGCCAAATAGCTTTTAATTGTAACAAGTTTAAAAGTATTGTAATCCATATACCAGGTTGAAAAGAGAAACAGTCTCCAGAAGGCTCCTGAGTGGAGCTCTGTCCAACCCAGGCTCCTTGCCCTCTCCAYGGAGCATCCCCCCTCATAGTTTCTTGGATATTCTTCTTCTCACTTTCTAATCATCTAATCTAATCTAATCATATAATCATATGCAAACCTATATATTGATATAAAAGCCCTGTTTTTATATATTATCTTTTTTGTTATGCAGAACTGGAAGCATAGTATATAACTTCTGTACTTTTTTTTTTTTTTCCTCTTCTCTCCCAGTGCTGGGGATTAAACCCCCGGCCTCAGGTAGGCTAGGCAAGTACTGAGTCACACCCCAGCCTCCTATAGGATGTTTTTTAATATTAATATATCTCAGAGTTTCATGTTAACACATTAAACGTGTTAATACATGCTCAGGTGCCTCATTGTTTGTGATAGTCCTATAATAGCCATTGTTGGCCGAACATAATTTATTTAACCAGCTATTAGTTGACATTTTTAGGTGATTTGTGGTACTTCTGTGAAGCAAATAGCTTTCCAAGAAAACCTGAGCAAAAGAGACAAGGCTGTAGTTACCCAAGTTTAGTTAATAATGATTTTTAGATATATTTTATTTTCCAAATTTCTGTAATAATATCTTTAAAAATTTATTTGCTTGCAGTTATGACTTTTAGAATGCATATATAGCAGTGATCTAGTCTACCTTATTTTGCACCAGGAAGTCCAAGGCCCAGAGAAGTGAATTAACTTGCCCAAGGGTACACAGTAAGTGGCAGAAATGGGTCTAAAAACCTGGGAACTCTGTTTAGAATTTCCGACTTTCAGGTTTTTCTGATTTTGAATGTTGTTACAATTCTATTAGAACAGGGAATGGTAGGGACATTTTAAAAAATGATATAGAAAGAGTTGTGTGGAAGAAACATTTTAAAATTATGTAAAAAAATGTATTTCTACTTAACCCCCAATAAGAGTCTTAAGAGCTTATCCATATTATGTCATTTTAAGGTTGGAGAAATCCTCCCAGATATGTGTATATTGAAGCCATTGCATTTATTCTTAAATGATCTGAAGGCAGTAACTTGTTTGTATTCTTAGTAAAGGAAGAGGTGTTGGTTGCCTTAGTGGCAGTGCTGTTGACCTGGATTCCGAGAGTCCTGGGTCAGAGCTTTGGTTCTGCCAGTAACTAAGTGAATGGCCTTGATCACCTAACCTCACAAGGCTGCAAAATAAAGGACTGGAATTAAGATGTTTCCAGGGTCCCCTTAGCTTCAAATTCTCTGCATTTCCTGCCTATAGATTTTAAAACCCTGGTTATATCACCGCATCTAAAAATTCGTTTTTTCTAATTACCTCCTAAGCTCAGCTAATATTCTTCATTCATCTRTTTAGTTCATGGCACCCTGTTTCTCCCCTCTCTGGTTATCAAACTTTATTTATCCACAGCCAATTGATCACAAGAATCTAAGACTTCATCCTCTAAAATCTCTTATTTGTTTTTACCCACTGGCACTACCCTGGTTCAGGCATTTAAATATTTGAAATTGCTCCTCTTATTAATAAAAATTGGGAAAAATATTGATAATTTCCTATCATCTGCCCTAATGTGGTCTGGGCTATCTCTGAAGGGTTTTATTTTTGTTCTGTGCCACCAGTCCTCCCTCAGCTTGTACACTGTCTTTTCACATTGCAGGACTAAAATCAGTCTCTCATAAATATCTGTCAGACGTTGTTCTATGTGCGTGGCACAAGACCAGGTCCCACATTGGCCCTGCCTCCACCCAGCCCATAGTTTAACAGGTGTCGTCAGACCTGGCAGGTGGGGCAGTGTAGTGGTAGGGTGTGGACCAGGCTCACAGGCAGCTCTCAGTAGGTGGAGCTACCCTCATCAAGGACTTCATAAAGAAGTCTTGTCTTTTAAGTTGCCCCCTCGGGAATTAGCTGAGAAATGAAAAGTATTCCAGATGGAGAAAATAGCTTGTGATGGCCTGGAGGTGAGGGAGGGGGTGCCTCTTTCAAGGAAAAAAAAAAAAAAAAAAAAAGGACTTGTATTTCCTGAGTAGAAAATCTGATGAGAAAGAGGGCATGGCGGGGACCGACACCCAGTCAGAACATGGGAGCTGGGCCCTTTGGTATATTGTTTTTGAGCAACACCATGGATGAAGTGTGTTGTTGGATACAGGTTAAATAGGGGTGAGAAGAGAAATAGAGAGTTTTTCAGGAGTCTCCTGTGATGTCAGGCATGGATGAAGATATCTGGAGCAGGGAAGTGCAGAAGAGATTTCACTGACTAGTCAGAGTGCTGGCATGATCTCTTGCTACAAGCATTAAGCTCGGTATATTTCAGAATTTTACCCAGCCTATTAGTTCCAACTTTATAATGAATCAGTATGGGGAAGAGAATTTTCTAAGTAGAAATAGTCATCACCACTTAGAATTCATTTTTTCTGTGAAGCTGGAAATACTTGTATTAATTATTATGAGCAGTGTCATTGGAACCTCAGAGTTAATGTTCTTTGACTTAAGTGAAGTCAATTTACTGCAGTAAGAAGTAAAAAATTCTTTTTGATGAGCTAGTGAGATTAAAAGTGATGGCAGRAGCAAAAAGGAGTGGTGGATGTGTATGTGTATTGAAGGGCAGAAGTGTTATTAGAACAAAATATTTTCATGTACTTAAAAGTAGTATTGAAGAGAAGCATTTTGACTGTATATTAGGATCAGGCAGAATGTGAATAAATTTGTTTAATTAGGATGAACTTCATCCAATTATATTCTTATATTTGGTATTCACTATTAAACTGTCAAGTAGAAGTAGGACTGCTTTTAGGTGCAAAAAACAGCTGAACCAAGAAATAGCTTATTTGTCTCACCTAAGAAAAAGGAATCACGTTCACTAGATCAGTAATGTCAGGATCAACATCTCTACTTTTTCCTCTTAGTCCTTTCCTCATGACTGTGGCCTCTTGATCTCACAATAGCTGCTTTGGACAGGAAGAAAAATATATAGGGATGGGGGTGATATCATGTCCCTTAAGCTTGCATCTCAGTGGTTAGCTCCCAGTCACATGGCTGTCTACCTGCAAGGGAGGCTGGGAAACAGAATGTTTTGACTTTTCTAGTCTCTCCAGTACTTGATGGGTATTTTATGGTTTCTGCCCCAGGGATGGTAAAAGTTATTTCTCAGAAGCCATTATTAGCCACTTGAAAATGAGGGGCAAATATTATTTAACAAGTCAAATCTTGCAACAGGTCTGTTTAAAATGAATTTTTTTGGTAATTACCTGTTTGTACTTATTTCAAGTAAATTTTGAAGCTGCTGTTTTCACAAATACTAATTAGAAAATTTGAAACATTTGACTTTGGTCACTTAAGTGAGTTTTTTTAATTATAAAACAATACATTGAGAAAAAAATGTTCTCAATTTTAGATGTGACTTATACAATTGATATTTTATTAATAGTGCATTTATGGTRGTTATTCTGTCCATGCACTATTAAGGTGGTAGTGACTAAATTTCAACTCTGTGTTTCTCTCACTACAAAATGAAGACATCAGTGAAGCTACATAGCTTCKTTGTATGTATTGCAATTTWWAAAAAAWTTTTTTAGTTGTTTATGGACTCAGTGCWTTTATTTGTTTTTATGTGGTATTAGGATCGAACCTAGTGCCTTACACTTTTGAGGTAAGTGCTCTACCACTGAKCTACAACTCCAGCCTCTGTATTACAATTTGTAAAAAGATAAGATTTAATAATTTGTAGAACCCAAGTTCAAGAGTAACAGATAAAAGATGTAACCTTCCACCACCTCTTTGTTATCTTGCTGTGAATCCAGATTCTTCTTTTTGGATTCCTTGGAAGCAGACTTGACAGTTTTCCTGGTCTCTTGACATACATAAGTGTAAGGGCAATTTAGTAAGATATGGTATTATAAATGGCATTATATTACAAACATTGCCATAGATTGACAGACGCCCCTGTAGCTATAGCTTTGCTATGATGTGAGGGTCTGCCTTTCCTAGTTACAGCATTCTAACTTAAAAAGCAGTTAAGTGTTAAATAACTTTTCATTATAAATAATATTTTGGTAAGTTTTTTAAAGGTTRAAGCTGGGCATGGTGATGCACTCCTATAATCTCAGTGACTCAGGAGGCTAAGGGAGGAGGATTGCAAGTTCAAGGCCAGTCTCGGCAATTTAGCAATACCCTAAGCAACTTGGTGGAATCCTTTAAAAAAAAATAAAAAATAAAAGGGTCTGGGGATGTTGCTTGGTGGTAAAATACCCATGGGTTCAATCCCTAGTACTGAGTGGGGTAGGGGGAAGGTTGAAAGAGAGATAGCCAATACATCTTAATCTGACAGGTTTTAGATGGCTAAAAAATGTTTTACTGCACTGAGCTGTGTTTTAATGTATCTACATGCACACAAAAATGGAGATTAAACCATAAATTAAGGTTTGGATTTGGATTCAAGAGTATAGCAGTGTTTTTCATCAGGTAACAATAGAAGAATATGGTAAATTATACATAGGAAATGCTAACTTAATTAGAACAATTGAAATATTTCAGTAGGTTGAGTTTTCATTAATAGAGAATCATTCTGTATATAGAATAATATGTATTATACTTTTTGTTATCTCTAACACATATTTTGAAGCAATGGATATGATTTTACATATATTTAATGTTGAGTATTATCTTTCTGTATTTGTCTTAGGCAATACTGTGGGTTATTTTAGCACATTAGGATCCCTATAAACTGAGCAATTATATAACTTTGGGGAGGATCAAGACTAATAGAGCTTTCTCATGGGTGCAAGGTTTGCCTTTTTCCTATTGCTCACTAGTGACCTGAGATCTAGGCACTGCCCTCTTAACTGGTTAGTATTTTGAGAATGTTGTTTTCTTTTTGTTATTGTTTCTGTATGATAGCTATTTCTAATGTTGAATGTTTTAATTGGCTATTTTAATTTTGGTTCCTAAGATAGTCTGTTGTCTTTAATACACATTAATGAGGTTGTGGGTTTTTTTTTTTTCCCCTTTTAACCCATTTTGGAGTATTTGCCCCCCCCCCCCACCTACCCACTCAGGTTATATATCTGCATGTGTCTTGGTTCAACCATGCTGCTTTGGGGGGGGAGGTTCTGTTAGAAAAAAACATGATGGCAACATGTCTGGGAACATGGGGGTACCATATGTGTCTGTGGAGTTCTGACCCACGGGTTCTGGCCATGTTGGCACTGTGGTGACACCACCTAAAATGTGAAATTCGGGAGAGACAATACTTGAAATCATAAAATAAAAAGGGCCCTGGAGGCAGTAATTGTAAGGAGAAAGGTCTTGAAGACTTCCCTTCTTGCTTTGGGACCAGTTCCTRCTGGTGGTAACATTGTTTCTGGTACTGTATTCATCCGTGTGTTAAATTTAAAAGGATCCTTTTTTGATGCATGTTATTGCTGTTGGAATTTTTTWAAAAATATTTATTTTTTTYTAGTTATAGCTGGACACAATACCTTTATTTTATTTATTTATTATTACATGGTGCTGAGGATCGAACTCAGGGCCCCACACATTGCTAGGCAAGTGCTCTACTGCTGAGCCACAACCCTAGTCCTGTTGTTGAAATTTAAAAAAAAAAAAAACATGCTTGGTTTAGCCGGGCACAGTGGCGCATGTCTGTAATCCCAGTGGCTCAGGAGGCTGAGGCAGGAGGATCTCGAATTCAAAGCTGGCTAAGCAATTTAGCAAGGGCCTAAGCAACTTATTGAGATCCTGTCTCTAAGATATGAAAAAAGGGTTGGAGATGCGGCTCAGTGGTTAAGTGCCTCTGGGTTCAATCCCTGGCCCCCAAAATAAGTAAATAAATAAACAAATAATATGAAAAATGCTTGGCAAAAGCAGGCTTTATAATACTAAGCATGTTTTTAGGTATCTAATAAAATTGGTGAGCCCAAATGATCATTGAAACAAAGAACAYAGATGTATAAGAAGGCTACTGTTGAATATTTTAGGGTGAGAAACCACAATTTGTATGATAATAAAGGGAAAAGCTAGGATGGGTAGCTACTATCTTATGAAATAGCAGTGTGTTGAACAACATATTGTTCTCTATAACYTGCACTGTTTTCTGAGAAAAGACCTATACAGTTTTTTTTTTTTTTTTAATATTTATTTTTTAGTTCTCGGCAGACACAACATTTTTGTTGGTATGTGGTGCTGAGGATCGAACCCGGGCGGCACGCATGCCATGCGAGCGCGCTACCGCTTGAGCCACATCCCCAGCCCCCCTATACAGTTTAATATACAATGTGAATAAACATAACTCAATTATATGTTTCCTGATTTAAATTAAAATTCACGTTCTTAATGAAATTATTACGTTATTGGAATGAAAATACTTTGTCTTTGGAATATTTAATGTTAATATAAAATTCTAGGGCTGGGGATATAGCTCAGTTGGTAGAGTGCTTGCCTCACATGCACTAGGTCCTAGGTTCAATCCCCAGTGCCACCAAAATATATATATATATATATATATAAAATTCTAACTAGCACATATTTCTTGTTGTTTTCTGCCTTACTGGTAAACATACCATTTAAACATACCTTTTAAGATGGAAACAAATCCAAAAAGTCAACACAGTAAGATGGACTTTAAGCTATTTAGAAAGCCATCTGATGGAGGGAGGCAGTGCCTTCTTCCAGTACTTCTGAAGGGAATGAATTTGTATTCTTCTTTTGATATTGCTAGTCTATTTTAGGTACGCAAGAACATGAGAATCTAGCTTTCTTCCTGCCAAGCTACATAGAAAATGTTTAAGATCAACTTTGGACTATTTGGGTTTCTTCCAAGAAAAATTTTACAAGCATAATTAACCCAAAACAGTAATTTTTACGTGAATTTGCCTTCTATTTTCTAATCTAATTTAGCTTTTAACACAAAAACAACAACAACAAAAAAGCAAAACTGTTAACACCTATAATATAGCTCATGGCAAYAAATCCTACCAATATAGTAAAGTAAAAATGTAAATGATGATCTGGGGGTGTAGCTCAGTGATAGGGTGCTTGCCTAGCATGCCCTAGATTCAATCTCCAAGACAGAAAAAAAAAAAAAAAAAACAACTAAGGACTCCTAAAGTCCCCTTTCTCCAAAGAATTTCTTGGTTGGGTAATTTTAAAACTCTAAACACTAGTACTTTCCTGAACCTGTATTGGTCCGTATTAAGCAAATACCMCACCTACCTATGAATAGAAAAATGTTACATGTGTCTCCTAAATTATGATTACTAACTTTTCAGAACAAACAAATAACGAAAAGAACACTAGAAAGTTTCATATAAATTTAAGCTAATATTTATAACACAAATAATAATAAAAAATTTTTTGATAATGTTATACAAGTTACCATGGGTTCATTATTAAATTGCTACAACCTGAAAGTGAGTCTTCATATTTGTGGGTTAGAGGCCATCTACAAGACAATGGGAAATAAGGAGCCAATTGCACCTTGGAAAAATTGTATGACTGCTCATTAAATTTAGAAAGCAGGTAAGATTAAAATAGACTGTTTTTAGAGACTCAAGAGCAGAGCGTAGAGAATGTCCTAACACCTTCTTCAACACATCCCACCCCAAACTCTTTCCCCTCTCTGCCCTCGCCCTCATTCCTCTTGCTAATCTCCTCCTGATGTTATTTCCTAGCTGGAAACCTGTGACTCACCCTGGATGCCTCTTGATCCAGCTGGCCACGCAGTCCTCCTCTTCTCCCCCAGGAGCAAATTCCTCTTTTCCTGCCTGCTCTCAGTACCAGGGGCCCTGGAGTTTCTCTTCTGGGCCTCCCTCCCAGCCTCTCTGCTTCTGGTCTTGCTCCCTCAGATCTTCCTTTCCATGCCTCCAGGACCCCGCTCAGCATTCTCTGTTTCCTACAAGATAAAACCTTGCGTGGTGCAAATGCTGTCTTCCCTATTTATTTCCAGCAGTTTCATTTTACTTTAATTTTGGGATTGCTGCCTGTGTCATGATACCAGGGCATCCCCTGTGCCTTTGTGTTTGCTGGCTTTACCTGCCTGGAATGCCCTTACCCTGATTGTCCTCTGCCTGCCTGCCTGCCTGTCTGTCTGCCAAGTGTCCATAAAGGACTATGCCCCTGGGAACTCTGCCCCAGATCTAGGCATTTCCCTGCTAGTGCTCCCACCACACTATATAGATTAGTACCTATTTAGCAAATCATGTTGCCACTATTGGCATGTTTCTGTCTCTGCTAAACAGAGAGCAAGGACCAGTTTGGCTCATATTATCCTTAACTTCATGTAAATCCCATAGACACTTACAGAAAGAGCAGTAGATATTTGGGTGACCGTTTCATAGTTTGATGCTCCCTTTTATTAGAAAATATTTTCCAGTAATTCTCACTTTAATGCTTTGCTCTCATGAAGAATCCTGTGATAAACACCCATCATCAAATGCTAAGGAAACACTGATTGAAAGAAATTGTGTGTGGGTATCTCTATTGGGGCTTTTAGACACATAGGTTCAGATTAAGGCAGAAAGGAGTGAATTGGCTGTCTGTTCAGGCTGGTAGAGATTCATGACCTACATTTCATTAGACAACACTAGTTTTCAATGCAATATGTAGTGAAAGCACATATTACCCAGTGCCTGTCACCTTTGTACAAGGAGGTTGATGTTTGAAAGTTGAAGAGGATGACACTAGGAAAAATCTGTGTCAATAGGRTCCCAGGTATTGACCTGCTTCAGACGCAGCATTGCCCCCCACCACCACCATGCTGCCTCCTGGACCCTGAGGCACCAGAGCAGGTTCACCAGCACCTTATCAATGCTATCATGGTACATTTTGGTAAATAGTTGGTGAGTGAGTGAGTGGCTCAGTAAGTACAGAAACTAGTTAACATTATTGAATCCTGCGTTTAGTGTTGTGTTTCATGGAACCCAAGGCAAATTCTCTTAGTAGTCATGAGTCCAACCTGATTTTAATAACTTGGAAAACCAGCAGATTCAGTAAAAGTACGGCTTGTTTAGGATGGATGTGTCCTTCTCTATGACCCACCTGACTCTCTCAAAAAGTATCTGAAAAATGGGCCTGTTCCTCTTTGCCCAAGTACTTTCTTAAAGACAATAAACCAGTTCACTGGGTTAGTTTTACAATTGTTAAATTAAGGTTTCTGAGCAGAAAGAACAAAGATGGCAAAGAGTGTTGTTATTATTCAGCTGTTTCAGTTGAGCAAATGACTTTGATTCAAGTGTTTTTGTGATGGAGGTTTCAGTTTTCATTAGAATGAATCCCATGTAAAGTTGAATCGATTGTCTTGTTGAGAGAAATCTGAATTGATGTAGAAGTTAACATTTAATTTTAAGGTTTCTTATTAAATTGATTCTTTGAAATTGGAACATAATTACTATATATATATATATATATATATATATATATATATATAACAAAATGTTTTTTTTTTAAAAAAAATAGCTGCATTATCAAAATAGTCACATCCCAATAAATATGTAAGGGCATGTAAGCATAGAAGGGCAAAGTTTGGCTCATATTATCCTTAACTTCATGTAAATAACAGATCCCACAGTATTTAAGGGAAACCCGTGGCTTTTCAGTATTTTGAAGAATCCTACTTATATGAGTCTTTAGAGCTTTGAGCATCATCGGAGATTTCTGCATCATCTCTGATCTTCAGTTGAACCYGGAGTGAGGAGAGGGAAGGATATGCGAACTGGGTCATCAGCTGCCCCGTGGTACAGTTTTGTCCTTAGGGAGCACAGTTTGTGGAGCGGAAGATTGAGGTCACAGCATACTTTTCCAGCTCCAGGTAGAGGGCACTGTGGACAAACGAAGACATGTTCTCTTAGAATAATATGTCAGTGTGTTCTTTCTTCCTTAATTATAAATCTAGTCCAAGTCCCTAATAAAACCCATATTATTTAGAATCCTGTCTACTCCCCAAGAAGGATTCTGAACAGATTATATCTTCTTGATGGCTAAGTGTTAAATACAAAGTGCTCAAAATTCATTTAACCATTTTTTAAAAATAATGTTTACATTTTGATTTTATATTTAACTTTTGAGTAGGTAATACATTTACCCTGTGGTTTAAAAGTTTAAAAAAAAAAAGCTGTAGGACATCTTTTACCTCTCTGGTTCCTGTTCCCTGATCTCAAAAGTTAAACATTTTTAATATGTATTCTATAATATTTTTGTCATAAATTTATAAGCAAAAAAGCAAGAATCTTAGCATTTTCTCAAAAAATGTTAATATTAAAAAGTTCCTTCAGATTTTGTAAATAATTGTCATCTGGCAGTTTTAAAACTGATATTGTGTTAAATAATAATAGTTGAGAGAGAAATTCTAGAAAGAGAATCAGATGTTATTAAGAACTCAAGAAATGATAAAGCAATTATCAAAAATAAATGAATTTAAGCCTGGAGTGGTGGCACCTGCCTATAATCCCAGTGACTGGGGAGGCTGAGGCAGGAGGATTGCGAGTTCAAAGCAGCCTCAGCAAAAGTGAGGCGCTGAGCAACTCGGTGAGACCCTGTCTCTAAATAAAATAGAAAATAGGGCTGGGAATGTGGCTCAGTGGTCGAGTGCCCCTGAGTTCAATCCCTGGTACAAAAAAAAAAAAAAAAATTTTTTTTTTTTTTTGAGTGAGTATTGGTGGGACGCAGAACAATGATATCAGGAGAATGAACTTGTATCTAACCTGAATATACTAAAACAATATTTTGTTAAGTTTATTGCAAAAATTTTAATTTCTGTTTATATGATGTTATGTCTATACCTAATCCACTTTCCAAAGCATGTGGGAACAGCTGAGACTTGCTTAAGAGGCCTGGAGGATTCTGACTAAAACAATCCCACAGAGGCTGTCTACACCTTGGGAAGTTCTTCTATATTCATGAGCCTTCCCTTCCCTACCTAGGTTACTGGAAGGATAAAAAGAGAGGGAAGCCAGGGTCATAGCACACACCTGTAGTCCTGGCTACTCAGGAAGCTGAGGTAGGAGGATCACTTGAGTCCAGTAGTTTGAGGCCAGCCTGGAAAACGTAGTAAGGCCCCCATTTCAAAAAAGAAAGGGAAAGTGAGAATACTGAACTGTAAAACACAATTATTATATATTATCGGGCAAATACAATTTCTTAGAACATTTAGGAAGTAACATAAAATAAAGAAACACTATTCTTAGATATTTTGACAGGTTGTTAAATATTTGGATTATGTTTAATTTATATAATAAGTGACTAATTTGTTCTTCTGGACTATAATATGACACTATCAGTTGGATATATTCTCCATCTGCTAGGAAAGTGGGTATTATTAATAAGCAACTTAATAACTATTATCAGTAATGAGGCACAATGGCAYATACCAATCCCAAGTGTTATTATGCTCGAATTCGGGACCCCCAAAGACCACCAGAGACCCAAGATCGATGTAAGCAGCAAAGAGGTGTTTATTGCGAGCTAGCTCGGTCCTCCGTGCACACAGCCCAAGGTTTGCAGCAGTTTTATTCATTCTTTGGAGAGGGCAGGGACTTCACATACATCATAGCCTCTTTTAGCAAATCATCACACACCGCAGGAAAATCAAATAACAACTCTAAAACATGATTAGCACATTCACTGGCAGAAACAAGTTGGGTAGGGGTGATTGGTCAGTACAAAAGGGGTATTCATTTGAACTGATTGGTTTAAGCCAAGAGGGGTGTGTGTGCTGAACTACATGGTTTCCCAACATGTTATCAACCACCATAAACTACTGGGAGGGTCATCTGGCATCCCAGGTATTTCCCTGTCTCATGCTGATTGGTGGCTGCTACGGGGTTGCTACGGATCCCCACCTAACCTGACTGAGTCAGGGACACCTGGTGCAGCAGATCTCTCCTGTTATTTGTAGATAAACAACTTAGCAGGGTGGGAATGTGCCTAGGAGTGCTCTGTGGGTTTTTCCAAGGACAAAGGCCATGTCCCTTCTTTGGACAGGCTTTGCTCTGAGATAGAGGCTGGTTTTTCACAAGGACTTGGGAGGCTGAGGCAGGAGGATTGCAAACTTGAGACCAGCCTCAGTAATTTAGCTAGATCCTGTGTCAAAATAAAAAAGGGTGGGGATATAGCTCCATAAWAATGCACCCTGGGTTATATCCCCAGTATCAAAAAAAAAAAAAAAAAGCCTATTACCAATAAAGAATTGTGGATAGTTTCCCCTTCTCTTCAAGTATTAATAAAACACAATGGATATTTTAGTATTTTAGAACTAAGGATTATTAAGTATTGATACAAATGTGAGTTGTTTAACCATGTACAGAAACCACAGAAAATAAGAGCCTTTTTTCTGATTTATACTTGAAAAGTATATTGAGTATATTTTGCCATTGGTTCTTGGAACATGAATACCAAGGTTGTGCTTTGTTTATTTTCCTTCAAACAATCACAGTAGTGGTTTGCTTCTCCCTGAAAAATTAGAGAAAATAATCACTGGCTGCTTCAAGTTGTCTTCAATTTGTTGACCACAAAATGCAGATGCCATGGAATGTCTGTCGGGCTAAGGAAACRTTTGTTTGTTTGGGTCTTTTTTTTTTCTTCAGATTTAGGTTTGTTTTGATCATTTGGCCTGTTTGTTTCAAGAAGCTAAGCTGCTTGCTTCCTGTTTTTCCAATTCTGTTAGATTATTTAAAGTGACTGGGACATTTGGAATGGTTCCAAACTGAACAGTTTTTCATTTAAAATAGAGTCATTCCCTGGGGCAGGATGGCATAGGAAGTGAAGAATCACTTAATGTGACATCTTAGGTGGATTTGTAGTGTTAGCAAGTGCTTTAAAAAAAAAATACCTCACCGCCCTTATTGCTGCTTGCTGGGGGAGGGGAGAATGAAGCTCGCCTTTTGTAGAAAACGGAATAGTATGGTCAAGCACATATCTCTTCTTAACAGTGGACTTAAAGGGGCAAAATGTGAGTAGATTTTCAATTAAGTGCTGACTTATTAAAGACTCAGAAATGGCACATCTGCGGTATAAATCTTTGAAATGACCGGGCCATCAGCACGGCAAGGGTGAGGCATTTGTACAAAACGTACAGGAGAAGGGAAAGATCTTTAAAGTCCAGTCATTTGTGTTTTGCTTTCAGCATATATAATCAGAATAGTAGTCACTATCAGATTTCTCTACCAATTTAACTGCAAATTGAAAGCTATGAAGCCAACATTATTTTCCACCCAACTTTCATGTTTCTCTGTTCTTCTGTTAATTTGTTCTTCTGGACTATAATATGACACTATAATATGACAAGAGTGAGRCATTTGTACAAAATGTACAGGAGAAGGAAAAGATCTTTAAAGTCTAGGTTGCTAGACGTATTTGTTTTATGTGCATAGTTCTCTGCTCCAAACTAATCTTTAAAAGTCAGCAACTGTAGCCTTAGTCTGCATTTACAAATTCTAAGCATCCAGATCTTTGATCAACCCCATTCTCATCCATATGCGTTCCTTGTGTAAACATCACATAAATGCATTTTTGTGGCTTATCGAGTTGTTTTTGAACCCATGTGTTGGTGATTAGAAAAGTTAACCTCACACATCCTTGTGCCTGTATTAATTCCTTTCACAGTTGAAAAGGGCAGACAAAAGAATCCCCGAAGTTCATGCATCCAGACACAGACATCTCCAGATGTACTGTCCTCGGAAAAAACACTGGAATTGGCTCGATATAAAACAAAATGTGAAAATCAGAGTGGATTTATCCTGCAGCTCAAACAGCTTCTTTCCTGTGGTAACGTCAAGTTTGAAGCCTTGACGGTTGTGATCCAGCACCTCCTGTCTGAGGTAAGGAAGGGTGGCCTCCACTCTGGGTCATCTTGCTCACTGAGGCAGGGGTGGGGCAAAATGGGGGAAGATTGGGGGCACATGCCCTTGTGAATATGCCTGAGTTAATGAGTGGAACTATCCAGTATAATTCCTCCAATTCTGCTTTTTAATTGATACCCGAGTTCCTCTCCTGAAATTTAGAATGGAAACATTTTCTTWGTATGTCCTTTTCTCCCCAGTCTCTTGATTAGGATGACAATATTCAAAAAAGATAATTGCCTGTGGTACTCTTAGTGCACCTATAATAGCATTAAGCACCCCCTCCCAGTTCATTTTTTTTTTGTCTAATTATATGCAGCTTTCCAATATCACACTTAATTTAATGCTTTCAAAAATGAGGTTGATTATGTTTATGGGTCAGATAACTCTTTTTGAGATAACTCCCAGAATCACATCTGGAGACTCTTCAAAGTTTCCATCCATTCCTAAAATAATCTGTGGTATGTCAGAAGCAAAGCAGATTTTCTTTGTTTACTTACTCTTCCCTGATATTCTTACAGGGATGTTAATTCAGGAACTGGTTAAAATTTATAGAGAAACCAAGTTTAAGTGAACATTTGTTAAGTGAACATTGCAGACATAGTTCTTCAGATATGTTTTAATCACAGTTTTAAAGGTGGATACCTTCCTTTCTCAAAAGAAGAAAACTGTTCAATTTCGTTCTGTAAGTCAGTTCAATGAAGTAAACCCATAGTGATCTTAATACAGAGGCCACTGTGATGCGGATGCCCACCTAGGGAGGGGACACAGAGGTGAATAAGACTTGGCCTGTGCCTTTGAAGAGCTACGAGACTAGATAACAGTTTAGACCAATATTTGATGAATATTTCGCAATTTTGTCTTTTATATAAATATGGATATTGGTTTTATTCAAATATATAATGTCCATATCAATATTAATTAAAAGCTATACAGATAAAGCTACTAAACATTACATATACGATATATTTTATGTGTATATGTGTGCGTGGGTGGGTGTGTGTTTTGCCTGAGATGCAGCCCAGGGCCTTGCACATGCTGAGCAGGCACTTTACCACTGAGCTGCATTCTCATCCTCGTGCGTGCGTGCGTGTGTGTGTGTGTGTGTGTGTGTGTGTGTGTGTGTGTACACATACGTGTGTATCTTTTGCCCCCTGAGGGGGAGGTAAAGACATTTACCTAGTTTTTTACTTATGGTAGTATATTGTGTTTTGGGTACTCTTTAATATGTAAGAAAGGAATTCAAGAATTAGTTTGTGTAACCAAGTTGGATAAATTAGGAACCACAGAGGGAACGTTTGGTTTTTCTATTCAGAGTTAAACTGGTGATTTCGTTTTACTGCATCCAGCTTAACAGCACCATCTTCAACTCTTCTCTCCTTTATCTCCTACATAAGTCAGTCAGGAGGTCTTGTGAGCTCTCAACTCAGGGTTTGTCCCCTTYATCCCATCTTTGCCATTGCTACCAATTGTCCTCCTTGTTCAGCCCCCGAGCAACTAACTGTCCTCTTGGTTCTGATAGCAACTTCATAACCAGCCTTTATGCCTGTAAGCTTTCTCCCCTGTAATCTCTCCCGAACACTACTCCCAACTTCATTGTTCCAAAGCTTTCCATTCTGCTGATTAAATCCCCCGGCGTATCTCCATTGTCTACAACTGATCTGGCCAATAGGATAGCCTCTAGGAGGCCATTGAGCATTTGTAATGTAATCAATCTGAGTTGAGRTGTGTGGTGAATACATATGGATTTTTAAAACTTAGAATGAAGTGAAAGGACCTAAAATGCCTCATTATTAATTTTTATAGTGACTGTCAAAATGGTATTGATAAATATATATTCAGATTGAGTAAAATATCATCTGTTTAAATTTTTTAAAGATGTGGCTTCTAGAAAATTTTAAATTACACAGCACATCATATTTGTTTTGGAAAACTGGTTTACAAGTTGGAATGTAAGGTTCTCTATAATTTATTACCAGCTGCCATATATATATATATATAAATATATATATTAAATATATATACTTAAATATATATTTACTTATTTTAGTTATAATGGACACAATATCTTTATTTTTATTTATTTGTTTTTATGTGGTGCTGAGGATGGAACCCAGGGCCTCACATGTGCAAGGCAAGAGCTTTACCATTGAGCTACAACCCCAGCCCACCAGCTGCCCTCTTAATGTAAGCCTCGCAGTGCCAGTGCTCAGCAGCATACTAGGAAAAGGGAGGAAAAGTGAGAGGGATTTAACATTTGTTGAAAATTTTCTAAGATACCAGATATTCTTTCTTACCTTATTAAATCATCATCAAAATCACAGTAAGTTGGAATTTACAGTCAAGAAAACTAAGGAATAGAGTTGTGAAGTAATATCAGACAGTAAGCAAGAGGAGGACCAGGACTTGAACTTTATGGCTAGGACTTTATGAACTGAAAATGTCCTATCCCTTTTCGTCCTTGGTTTAAATACTCTTCCTGGGTGGCTACTCTCCCTCTGAAACCTTCTCACATGTTCAGGACTTTTTTTTTTTTTYCCTTAACAACATTCTCATATCACCATCTGCATTTAATTTAATTTATAGAATTTTTTATGCAAACAACCAAAGTAAAAATGCAAATTAAGTGAAGAAGGCCATGCTGTCTTCCAGGTCCCTCAGAGGCCCAGGAGTGATTCGAGATGAAAGACAGGACTCTGCTTTTCAGGCATCTTCTCAAGCCCCAAGTTTCGCTCCCTTGTGATATGAACCTTCTCCATTATATTCGCTCTAAAGTTTTTTAAAATCCTTTTTTTTTTTTCTTATAAAACCTAGCTCTTAAACACAAGCCAAATAATTTATCAGGTACTCAGTTGTGGAAAGAGCAGATCCAACACTAGATTAAAAATTCACTGGGTTGGGCCTACAGAGAAATGCTTGGATAGTCCATAACCATGAGTGAGTTCCAAGGATGTTTTTACCATATATGAATTTCGCTCACACCTAAATGTGGGTCCTGACACCTATGTAACTGTGACTCTACTGAACAAAGCTCAGGAGTTCCCTCTATAGTGAAGACTCCTCAGCCTTCTAGTTGTCTATTCAGCTCACCCTCTAGATKCCAGCAGCATTTCTACTTCCCTTTGGTTCTTTGTATTTAGTTTTCCAGTTAGTGCTTTTTAAGATAGGAAGCTTACCGAGAGCAGGATCTGACTCTAGTTCATTATTAGTTACCCACCCAGCAGCTGGGATAGACAGTGTATTTGTGAATGAAGTAATGAATGRGGAGTATGGAATCCCAGATGGAGGATACACAGGAAATTTTCATGTAAATGTCCTTTGTTCCTTCTTTCTTCATACTCAGTCAGCAAATATTTACTGATTGCCTAATATGTACAGGTACTGTTATAAAACAGTTGGAAAGACATAGCCAGAGGGAAAGTTAAGCAACTAAAAAAAAAAAAAAATTCCCTTCACCCTGTAGAGTGTGTGTGTGCATACACATATGTTGTGTGTGTATATATAAATATGTATGAATATGTATGTACAAATATATATATTTATATGTATAAATATGTGTGTGYACATATATGTGCACATATATATCTTGCAATTACTAATCTTTTCTAAATGATTTTGAAGCATTGGGTTATGGGTAAAAAGGGTTGATTATAGTGAGTCCCAGAACTATCTCTTATCCTTCTGTTGCAAGTGTATTCAACAATGCAGACACATTCCATCACACCTTCGTTAGAARTTCTAATAAATGTCTCATCATTCTGGAAACTTATGTTACACCCTCTGTTTCTCAGAATACACGCCATTATCTTCAATTTGTTCTCATTCTTCGTTCATCCTGGAATGGTTGTACAGTATCCCTACACTGACAGCCAAAGCCAACAAGATTGTGATGGTAGTAATCCCAGTGTCTTTTTAAAAGGGTCTGTGTAGGTTTCTGGGTAAACCTAGAGAAGATTGAATTCTACCCCTCCCCACAATCTCTTATTTTAAGTGCCTTCAAATTTAGCCTAGACTAGTAACTAAACAAAGATGAATCTTGAGTGATGCTAGGAGTCTACTTTAAGTAAAATTGACTCAGATTAAAAAAAAAAAAACAGTAGCCATACTGACAAATTCACTGTGTGGCCCTTGGGGAGGTCAGACATGGCCACATCAGAGCTGTCTGATGTGGGCTTTTTTTTTTTTTTTTCCTTCCTGCAAGATCCTGTGCTKTTGATACTCCTCAGTAGCTAGCAGAATTCAGGCACACTGATGGGACCACAGCCAGACACTAAGTGCCTGTGTCCCAGGGACCCTTAATTAAATTATGGTGAATCCATATTTTTTCTTGGAGCATTTCATATGTTTAATGCATGAGTATAAAAGCATTTTTTTCTATCCAGATTCCCCCTTTAGTTTTTTTCCACTGTGTGTGTGTGTGTGTGTGTGTGTGTGTGTGTGTRTGTSTCTGCTGTTACAGTAACAAGAGAATTAAATAAACCTGTTATCTGGAGTTCATTAGCTACGACGTAAGCACTGATCTGGGAATATCTGAAGAAAAACAGTGAATCAGAATCTGACAAAATATATTTTATCATCAGCAAGTAAAGGATGAATACATTTAAAGGGCAAGCTACCAAGGAAGTCGGGCAGAAATGAACACATTTTTTGTGTCTGTTATGGTATGGGCCCTGTGTTTGGCATTTCACATAAATATCATATTTAAAGCCTTCAGTTTTTCCATTATCCTGTACTGCTTCCCCTCAGATGAGGTCATCTGTTTTGATTGATAACCAAAGAGTTGGGCCTGGACATTTTAGTTCCACCCAGGACCCAGGAGCCTTGAAGGCAGAGACCTTAAATTTCTCACATTTTTTTTTTAAAGCATGTGCTATGAAAAATGCTTAGCTAATTGGTAATGAGTAACAACTTGCCAACCAATTCAGAAGCACATTTGGGGTAGGGGATGGTGTCTCTGACTGGCATTTAGCCTTCCCAGAAGGTTTCTGTAACAGGTAAAGAAGGTCAGGCATCCAGAGAGGGTGCCACCACRTGTGACTCATCAGTCAGGGTCACTCCAGGTGAATTGGGTTGGCACTGAGACAGAGAAAATATCTTTTTCTTGGGGTTCAGCGATGTCTCATTGGCCCCAGCTCCCACAAGGGAAGCAAGAGAGGAGGACAAGAGCGACAGYGAGCATGCCTTAAGCCATATTATTGAGGGGAAGACACTCAAGAAAGTTCCACCCAAATGAGGCAAGGGATTGAGTTCAGGGGGGTGTAGCCCAGGCTCACTGGGCGATGCCCACTCCCAGAGCTTCATTCCCCTGCCTGACTGCGTCAGGATCACTTGTGGTATCTAATAAAGCTGTCTTCTGATTTTGAAATTGGTTCATGTCAGTTCATGGGTATAATGCCTAAGAGTAATGAGAAAAAACTTTGCAGCTAATTCTGAAATTTACAAAAGACCCTTGTCTCCCACATGTCTGCCAGATTTCTTGGGTCATGTGGAAAAAAACAAAAGTACTTTTGAGGAAGCAAATCCTGGAACTCTTGTGATTAGGTATCATTCCACAGTCTGTGAAGACTCTACAACGTTTAATAGTAACTATGTATTTCTCTTTCTTAATAAATATAATCAGGGACAAAACGTACTACCGTTTATCCAAAATAGATTACCCAACAAAATTAAGGCTGAAATTGAGATTAAGAACATATTTTTAAAATTATATATACATTTTAAATTATTTCTTCCATTATTATCCCAGTTGATTGCTTTCCTAACAATTACTTTTTTATTTGCAGTGCTGGGGATTGAACTCTAGTGCTAGGCAAGCCCTCTGCCACTGAGCTACACCCACAGCCCTATTTATTATTTTTAAAACTTGGAATCACTGATTGGTTATTTCAAAATAATACCACATTTTTAAAAATTCAGGCATTTAGGATCCCATTAAGGCTAAAATGTTCTCAATGAATAAAATGTTTGTTCAGTCTTGGTCACTGTTATCCATTCATAGGAGTGTTAATTTCCTTAACTGTGTTGTGAGAGACTAGTGCAAAATAAAAGTAATAAAATAGAAATGACCTCAAAATCTTGAATCTGCACGCTTTAAACTCATATTGTGCACATGTACAAGAATGTAACAATAAATCCCACTGTTATGTATAATGCAACAATAGAAAAAGAGGAAAAAAATTCATCAATGGTCTGTGTCCTATGTAATCAAATCAAATTTTGAGAGAAACYCCATTCATTTTACAACATCATGTAAAATTCTACAGCACAACATGGCCCCTTTCATTGCCCTTCACCTAGTTCATAACCTCATTTAGTTTATGGGTTTTGAGGAACAGGTTTCCCTTCTTTATTAGCAAGTGTGATAATCTAATGACCTCAATTAGAGAGGGGAGTAACGAGGCTCACAAATCTAAAAATAACTCCATTATCCATGCAGAAGGGTCAGTTTTTGTTTCCACCATCCCAGCTGATATTTAAGTAAGTGGCAATCGATCAGTCTAATGTCTGGCTCTCGTTTTTCATAAATGAAGGGCTGTGGCTTTAAGTAATCACAGGCTGCTTGTGCCAAAGGCAGAAGCTGCAGTATCAGCTTCTGTGGGGAGAGAGGAGTCTGAGGCATACGGTAACCTGCAGGACGTTCAGGAAGGCCACCAGGGCCAATGGCGCTCCTCCTGGTAGAGCTTTGAATGTAGGCAGGCCCGACTGGTGGGTGGCACAGCCACCTGTGCACTTCTTGGACAGTGCAGGGGGTGGGGAGTTGGAGACAGAAGCTGGAAAATGGGCTGCCCCAGCAGCAAAATGTGCCTCTATTCTCCATGTGCAGCAACAAGGGTAATTAGTATTTGTTTATAGTGCTTTTCTGGAAGAATGTCAGGGACTAGGGCAGAGGGTGTCTGGAATCGGGGAAATGCTTTGAATGACAAGCAACTCTTGCCTGCAAAGGCTGGATCTTACGATCTCTGCAATACTGCAATCAAGATGCGGTGGGAGCTACCTCTGGGGCGATCCTAGCGAGGGCGTTTTCACAGAGCTTGGAAACTGTACGTCTTCCTTAGTTACGCCCTGATAGTAGGGAATCCACCTTGTAAGGAACTGTGTCTGATGACTGTGTGTAAGTATGTGTGGCTCTGTGACTGGTGCGAGTTGCTGCGGGGAATTTAAAAATTATTCTGTATATCGCAAAGTTGATCGTTGCCTTTTTAATGCTGAAACAGCTGCCTGTTTCTTTTGCTTCGTTTCTTTAACATCTATTTAGAATTATAGCTGCTCTAAGATATAATAATCTTTCAAAACTCGTGTGTAGCTGGATRAATTCAATTTTAGTTTGTCTTTAAATGCTTACTTTTTTGTTGTTGTAGCTTTTTAACAAACTTTTTTTTTTTTTTTTGGTCTCATTTAGAAGTAAAGGATTGCCCTTGTAACAAAACTTTTTTATTTGTAAATATAGGACAAAGTATATATAAATGCCTATGTTTAGAACATTAAATATTTATCTTAAACTGATTAGGCCTTTTATTGCCCGTGGGAAGGAGAATGTGTTTTCTCCTAAGTACAGTATGCATTAGCTGAAAGGCTGTATGGATCAGCCCAGAAGCATTGACTCTAAGCAAATATTTTTTTAAATGAGCAATTCAGTTAGTTCCTCAAAGGAAAGTTTCACGAGAACCTGAGAAAATACAGATTTTTAAAACACGAATTTCCTTTACAACTAACGACATCTCTGTGTGTGTGTGTGTGTGTGTGTGTGTGTTTTAAACAACACACACAGTTTAGCTGAAATGATTCACATCTTGGCTTCCCGATCTTGGGTCTCGTTTTCCTAGTGATAACAAATGTGTAACCTTACTGAAAAGGACCCTCTTGAAAACATTAGTAACTTGATGTGTGTTTTCCACAGCGGGAGGAAGCACTGAAACAACACAAAACCCTATCTCAAGAACTTGTGAACCTCAGGGGAGAGCTAGGTAAGAGCCTCTTTTTTCTTTTTTTTTTCTTTTTCTTTTTTTGTGGTGGTGTTACATTGTATGGGGTGAGGGGAAGGTTGGAGAATTTGGACTTCCTGTCTGCATGGTGTCTGGAGTTGCATGCTGGCGGTTGTCAGCTCTCCCACTCCAGTATCTGTGCAAACACTTACTATCGACATTTCTTTTGAATCTTGGCAGCTTGACCTCAAGTTCACAGAATTCCTGGCACTGATCTCACTAAAGCCTAGCAGAGCCTCTGATGACCAAAACATGTCTCTTGCTGAAGAGAGAGAGAGAGAGACAGAATAATTTTTTTAATCGCTTGAATTCCCGTTAAATAATTCCATCATCTTTTTTTTTTTTCCTTTTTCTGAACCACTTTTCATATGAAAGAACATTGAGGAAATTCCCTTTGATAACAGCAATTACATTACACTTCCTAAGGATGGCTTGTGAGTAGTGAGTTTACAGTTAAAAGGATGCTGCTTGTCAGGACCATCCATCTGAAAAAGGCATATTCTATTTTGATCTTAGGATTTGGATAGTGCTAAGGGTGAATAATTGCCCAACTCCACAGGGAGCCATGTCTGAATGGCTCAGCACCCACTCCTGCTGTTCAAGGCAAGACTATTTTAGTTCAGGTCTGTCCTAGAGGTCCTCAGGGTTCATGGGATAGAGACAATACTGCCTTTTCTGCCTCGGCTACTRTGTAAGAGTGAGCTGGGCTGCTTAGGGATCCCCTGTTTGTGGGGCTCCTCAGCCTAGAGAACTGGCTTCCTACTTTAGCGCCAATCATGCCTGGAGCTGTCCATCCAAAAGCTGCCTTCCTTGCCCTTCGTAGTTTTCTGTGTGTGCCAGCAGTCGTCTCCACTGGAAGCATGGGTAGGTATGAGTATAAGTAATGCAAAGGTAACAGCTAGAAGAGCAAATTATGCTCATCCAGATATAAGAGAATCTGCCCGTTTCTCTTTGGAAAAGACCAGAGTTTAAGCATTGCCAGTCTAATTTGCTGAACCGAAACTCTTTGAAACAACCACTGTCACCACGCCAAGTCTCCAWCCAGGACAAGAATTGAAGGGCAGAGCCTAGAGGGTCAAGACTTGCTCTTCATGTTACTTTTCTCTTTCCACCCTCCAAGAGGAGGGAGGACAAACTCCTGGCTAACTCCCTGGATCATAGTATCTGGCCAGAGCAACAGTCTTGACCTTGTTTTAGGCTGTGTACATGAAGTACCCTTTATGGGAAAGTAATTTTAAGACAAATGAAACTTCAGAACCCCAAAGACTTGACAGTTCTCGTGAAAGCATTCAGGGAAACCACAGCTGAGAGGCGTTTCTGAGGGCTTCCTGCCATGTTACCTGACTGCTGCCCTTTTGCTTACACAGATGGCCAYCTTAATTTGCATTTGTGCCTTAAATAATGTAATGGATACAGAGTTAGAACATCAGGAAAGAGGCCTTTCTGTGTGTTTAGCATTCATTGTACCCCAGTGAAGGTGGAGCTGAGCCTACCTAGTGTTTCACATTTCAACCTCTCTTTAAAGCAAGGAGGAACAAGAACGGAACACTGTGCTCATTCACTCTTCTTGAATTGGGGATCCTCTTTTTGCCTTTTAGTGGATGGCACAATTAAGCAATTTAAACTGGGGTGCAGTACTCGACACCTCCAGTCAATCACATCGTCACGAAGTAGCCATCAGTTTGTACCCACTCTCACCTTCCATCTGTGATTGGGAGAGAGTGTCCGGGTGTGCTGTTCCTCTGCTGCCAGAGTGTCGGGATGCAGTGGGTAGCCTGGCCATATCCTCCTGTCACCCAAGGTCCATCTCTGGGAATGTGTCATTGCTGCTGTTGAATCCAGCAGAACTGCTCAAGTAACAGCATAAAGAATTTGGAAAATGTTTGGTTCTGTCAGGGAAGAGAAGATAATCCCTTAAACACTTGTGATAAACCTGCCAGGAAGAACATCTCAGAGCACACAGTTGGATTGTTGGTTTTAGCCTGAACTGAGATGGAAAATGATAGGTTTACATAACAGAGCTTAAAGCTTGTTTTAAATTTTGAGGCAGTCGAGAAGAGCACCAAGCAAGGACTGTGTCGTCAGGTGTCYTTGTTCAAATCCGTAGTAGCTGAGTGACCTAGAGCAAGTCACGTCTGTCTCTGCTGTCCCAGTTTCATTCTCTGTAAAATGGCAGTAGTGATTGTCTGCCCTGAGGGTGGTTATGAGAATCACAGGGGGTAATGATACTTTGGAAAGTGTCTCCCACCAAGTGTTAACTGCCATTAAATAATAGGTATTGAGATATATGCAGTTTTCCAGCTGGGTAGTGATTGACYGCATTTGCCATTTTGTAAGGGCATAAACCATACTGTAGGTAGGAACAGTAATTAGATGAAATGTTATCAGAAATACCTCAGGACAGGCTCCTTAGACTCCTGATGGTGGAGTTTAATGTGTGGAGATAGTAGCTTGGCAGTTTGTCCTTCCAATTCTTAGACATTACCTGACTTCTTTGAGTACAGATTCTTTGTTGGTGATATGAAAGTTGATATTTTTCTGGCCTATTGTATAGCATGAATAAAATAGTAACATATAAGAAACAATGGCATAGCACCTGGCCCATGACAGGAAACTGAAGAAGAGAGAGCTGCCATCATCCTCATCAGCTCAGTATCCACCGTTCCCTCCAAGATGATGTGAGGTCATTGGTGTCGCTCTCCAACAGGGAGAATTTTCTTTACTTTCTCTATGAAAACAGAGACCAGGTTCCCAAACTACTATGCACTGCAGAGAATAAAGACAACTCATAAACTGAGAGGCACTGAAGCCCAAGTAGAGCTGTGCTTTTGACCTTGAGAATCTAATGCCTCCTCTTGTCCCCACCAAGCTAAGGTAGCTTCCCTCCACCRCAGCCTGCATGTTTCTGCCATCTGAGCTACACACCTTCATGGAATGATTGGCTATTGGCTATTTGCTTCTRCAATAACTCTTCAAAAAAGCTCAGAAAGAAACTGTGGAGCTCCCCTCATTCCAGCGACCCCTTGAGATTTTACACCAATGTCTCTGCTCTATCTTGTGTTCTCCTAGTATATTCAAACAGTAGAGCCCTAAATTATATAGATTCTTTCCTGCTTCCTGCAAGGGGTGGGGRTGGGGGTTATAATATGCTTCACATTTTCCTGAGTTAATTGATAAATATTATTGGCATTTGAGGTTTTAAAGCTCCTTTATTATTTAAGAAACTTATATGAAAACAAAATTTTTAATCAAGAAGAAAATAGCCCCTAGTTCCACTATCCAACTATAACTTTTATATTTGCATAATTCCTTGTTTTTGTTTAGATGAATATATACAGCTTTGTGCTCTGGTTTTAAAATTTAGGTATAATTTACATACAGCAGCATYTCTGTTATTCTGTCCAACTTGATAAACATATTCTCATATAACCTATATCCTTGTCAAGACATAGAACAGTTCTGTGATCCCAGGAAATCCCTTGTGCCCTATTTCAGGGGGACCACCCCATCCTTCAGAAGCAAACACTTATTTTTTATCAACATAGGTTAGTGCTGTCTCTTCTAGAATTTCAGGTGAACGAAAATACATAGTATGCTCATTTTTTTGTGTCAGGCTTCATTCATACAGTATCATGTTTTTAAGATGCATCCCTATTACTGTGTGTATCCTCTGGTCTTCTTAACTTAACAGGTGCAGTATTTTTCCATTTTTGCCTGATAAACCTGCATTTACCTGTTATATAGCCTTGCAGTCAGTGGGTTTCCTCATCCATTCCCTTGGTTTCACCTCCATGCTACACAACCATGACTCACAGGTGTATTCTCCTAGCCCTTTCCTTCCTAAGCTGTAGGTGGTGTTCTTCCTCTAGGGCTGCCTCTAGGTGAGCCAGTCCACTGTGATTAAACCTTCTTAGGCTTCCAGATTCTCCGCAGTCTTTCCTCACTCAGACCCATTCCTCACTCGGCCTGTGGTGACATTGCTGATTCACTTTCCACCCAAGCTAATGAATGATCACCCTCCTTTCCCCATGCTCTGCCCGTGTGGCAGTCTGAGTCCTAAGTACTACATCCTTCCCTAGCGTTCCGGCTGCCACTGTTCTAATATAAGCTCCATAGTTTCTTATCTAGATGATACTGCAGTGGCCGCCCAACAGGTTGCCTTGCCTCTAGGCCCCCAGCTCTCTTCCTCACATGCTGCTCTTTCTCCTTTCCAGGCCCTGGCCCGGGTTTACTCGACCTCTGTCCACTGCTCCTGCACGTGTTGCCCTCTCTGCCTGCGGTGCTTCCTCCTCTTTCTACCACCCTTCTATTCTTGCCTCATCRTTTGCTCGTGTTTTAAGTCCCAGCTAAAATACCTCGTCTTCAGGGGGGTTTCGCCCAAATCTTTTATGCAAGTGAATTTCCCTTTTCCTATGCCCTTCAGGGTGCTTTATCCACACGGAAGACTCTGTTCTGACAGTTGTTTGTTTATAGATCTCTTCTCGCCGTCCAGAACTATGAGCTCTTCAAAGGCAAGGTCACTATCTCCTTCATTTTTTTGTAGTTCTACCACCTTGTGCCTGGCACATACCCAGTACCTAGACCGTAGTGAATGAGGGGATTTTGTTACTGAGGATGGGAGCTAGGGAAAGGGGGTTTTCTCTTTTTGGTACACAAACACTTGATGGGTTTTGTGCACAAATGTTTTCTTAGGAATTGTTTTGAGAGCTACATTTGTGTCTTTAGGAGTGAATAATAATAAAGGTAAAATATAATTTTCTTGGACACATTGTGTCTGATAATCCCAGTTAATTAGCAGATCATTTTGAATAGTTAAATTTAATGGTCTACACCCACAGCAGATATTTTGCCTCAGAGAGAGGGTAAATGTGTCATCCTGATTCTTTCTAGAGCTGTGCTGAATGAAAACTGGTGTATAGAGGGCCATCATTATGATCTATTAGGGGTTTCTGTTGTTCTTTAAAGTCAGTCCTTGGGATCAC